CAGAATCGTGGCGACATGGTACAAGATGGGCCAGGATGGAGACTATCCGCTGCCCAATTTCTCGAGCAACACACAAGATGCGACGGGGCCTTTGTACCCGGGCGCTCTTTTCTCTCCGTCTGGCGTTGTCAACCAGTATGTCAACGTGCAGGCCGATCACAACATCACTGCGAGAGCAATCGCGCGAGATGCCATCACCTTGCTAAAGAACAATGGCAATATACTCCCGTTGGCGAAGAATGACTCTCTAAAGGTTTTTGGAACAGACGCCGGGCCTAACCCGGACGGTCTCAACTCCTGCTCCGATCAGGGATGCAACAAAGGGGTGTTGACCATGGGCTGGGGCAGTGGCACGTCTAGGCTTCCATACTTGGTCACACCACAGGAAGCCATTGCCAACATCTCATCCAACGCAACCTTCTATATCACTGATAGCTTCCCCTCTAACGTTGCGGTAAGCTCAGGCGATATCGCCGTGGTGTTCATCAACGCCGATTCAGGAGAGAACTATATCACCGTCGAAAACAATCCAGGGGACCGGACCTCGGCCGGGCTAAACGCATGGCACAACGGCGACAAGCTCGTCAAAGACGCAACGGCAAAGTTCTCCAAAGTTGTCGTGGTCATCCACACCGTGGGCCCTATCCTCATGGAGGAATGGATCGATCTGCCGTCGGTAAAAGCCGTCCTTGTCGCGCACCTCCCCGGGCAGGAGGCCGGCTGGTCCCTGACGGACGTCCTCTTCGGCGACTACAGTCCCAGCGGCCATCTCCCGTACACGATCCCACGCGCTGAATCGGACTACCCGTCCAGCGTGGGTCTCCTCTCACAGCCCCTCGTCCAGATCCAGGACACCTACACCGAAGGCCTGTACATCGACTACCGCCACTTCCTCAAAGCCAACATCACCCCGCGCTATCCCTTCGGCCACGGGCTTTCCTACACCAACTTCAGCTTCTCGCAGCCCACGCTGTCCGTACGCACCGCAGTCGACAGCGCCTACCCGCCCACTCGCGCCCCCAAAGGCCCAACCCCAACCTACCCCACCACCATCCCAAATCCCTCGGAAGTCGCCTGGCCCAAGAACTTCGACCGCATCTGGCGCTACCTCTACCCGTACCTCGACGACCCCGCCGGCGCCGCAAAGAACTCCAGCAACACATACCCCTACCCAGCAGGGTACACGACCGTCCCCAAGCCGGCTCCGCGCGCCGGCGGCGCAGAAGGAGGCAACCCGGCCCTCTTCGACGTGGCCTTCGCCGTCAGCATCCAAGTCACAAACACCGGCAACCGGCCCGGCCGGGCCGTCGCGCAACTCTACGTCGAACTACCCGATACGCTTGGCGTTGAGACGCCTGCGCGCCAGCTGCGGCAATTCGCGAAGACGAAGATCCTGGGCCCCGGGGCCAGCGAGACCTTGACCATGGAGATCACGCGCAAGGATATCAGCGTTTGGGATGTGGTGGTGCAGGACTGGAAGGCGCCTGTTCAGGGCGAGGGAGTGAAAATCTGGCTTGGGGAGAGCGTGTTGGATATGCACGCTGTCTGTAAGGTTGGAGGTGCTTGCACAGTTATATAATCCTAGTTTCCTTATATACCTTGAATTTGGACGTCTGTTTTTATAGTATGTGCTGCATAATTTGCACAAGGCGATGTGTTATGTAGTTGCTGACTAATGCACAAACCATACTTTGCCTTTGCCGCTTCTGCATCTCCATCTCCAGCCGCCTTCTTCCCACAAAGTATTATCCATCAAGGACAACCACCGGTCGATCGATCAGTCCCTCGACCGAGTCTGTCCTGGCCGGCAACTTATTCTGAAATGTGATATACGCCCTCGTCCTGACGGATACAACCCAAAATGCAGGGCTTTAGTGAGTACTCCATACCTCGGCGCCCACCCCACCGTCATCACGCGGGGCATAACTAACAGTCATCACAGACATGGGACGGTCCGTCGCCTCCCCTTTAGCTACCTGACTTTCCCCAGATTGGAAGTAAAACTGACTATCACAGCTACGTCCCCCCGGACCAAGAGGGCCTCACGACAGGCAACAAACTAGCGGGGAAGCACCCGCTAGGTGCGCGCGCGCGCCACCTCCGCACAAGCGGCGCGCTGATCGTGCGGTTCGAGATGCCCTTCGCGGTATGGTGCACGACGTGCAAGCCGCACGAGACAATCATCGGGCAGGGGGTGCGCTTCAACGCCGAGAAGCGGAAGGTCGGGAACTACCACTCGACACCGGTGTATAGTTTTCGGATGAAGCATGGGGCGTGCGGGGGGTGGATTGAGATCCGGACGGACCCGGCGAATACGGCGTATGTTGTTGTTGAGGGGGGGAGGAAGCGGGATACCGGAGAGTCTGGTGGGGTTGGGGAGATTGCGGTGGGGGAGGATAGGAAGGTGAAGGAGGATGCGTTTGCGAGGCTGGAGGGGAAGGTGGAGGATAAGCGGCGGGCGGAGACGGAGAGGTCGCGGATTGAGGATTTGCAGAGGCGCCAGAACAAAGACTGGGATGATCCGTATGAGATGTCGAGACGGCTGCGGAGGACGTTCCGGGTGGAGCGGAAGGCGCGCGAGGGCGTCGAGGCGAAGGCCGAGGCGCTGAGGGATAAGATGAGCTTGGGGATTGAGCTTCTGGAGGAGACGGAGGAGGATAGCGTAAGGGCGGGCATGGTGGATTTTGGGCGAGGGGATGATACAACCCAAATCACGCGTCGCCGGCCGTTGTTCGACTCGCGGAATGGGAAACGACCTAAGGCTGCGGATACACTGGCTGAGCGCAAGGCGCTGTTTCGCAGTGAACTGACGGGGAATACGCGGGCAGCCGTCGATCCGTTTCTCAACGAGGATGGGCGTGCATGGCGGCCCGAGGTCAAGAGGAGAAAGACGGCGTCGACCAAAGGCGTGGATATCGCTGATGATGGACCAGTCGCAGTTAAAGCCCCTGTCGAGCCTGATAGACCGGTTGCAACGCCCGCGTTGGTCAACTATGCGTCTGACAGTGACTGAGTGACGACTGGATGATGATTCTTTCTCTATTCTACGGCGTTTGCTTGCATGATACCCGGCGGAGTTCGCCTCAAGTTACATGGTTTGGACTTTTTCCTGAATTGACAGATTTCATTATTGGTAAGGTAAAGGGTATAAAACAAGATGAAGATCACGTATTTTGATTTGCGCTAGTTACTTCGCCCAGGGAGCTTTGGTAGGAACATGGGTCGGATCACCACCGGGTGCCTGCCCGGCTGACGATGCTGCCCACGGAGCTCTGGTAGGGGCCATAGGCCCAGGGGGTAGTCGTGACGTATCAGGAAGGGCAGTAGGCGGTTGTCCAGGGATGCATTCGTCTCTCCTTGCTGCCCATGGCGCGGCGGTCCCTGCACCAACCGGCGGGGCGGCCTGAGTACCAGTTGCCCAGGGTGCCCTGGTGCCGGACGGCGGCATCTGTCCTGCAGATGGAACCGCCGGCCCCCTAGACTGAGACTGAGCGGTAGATGTATGAACGGACGTCGTGGGCGGGACGGCATTTGGATCGCGGTCCCACCTGAAGAGGGAGCCAAAAGGGAAGTGCTGCACTACGGGAAACTTGGATAGTACTTCCGCGTTGTACATTTTGATCATACCCTGAATAGTAAGCACTCGGTCAGTTCGAGCAAACGCAACGAGACTAACCTTGTTGATTTTCCCCCAACCAGCCTGAATGCCGGAAATGTCGTAGAGCATAGGGCTGTGTTCCCAGAATGGGCCTTTCTTGACATCATAAATGAACCCAATCGCGGAGAAATACATATTCGTCAATCTTTCTCGTTCGACGATATGTGCTTTGGTCACACTATTGGGCGATGGAGCATCTGGAAGCGAGCCTTCTTCAGGAGTTGGGTCTGTTTCTGAGATGGCTGGCGCCAATTGCGCAGATCCCAGAATGTACGGGATGAAAGAGTGGTCGTCCAGTCCCCAGACGCCATGAGACCCTGCCGGTTCGAGCGTGTACCGCTTGATAATGGTTCGCACCAGCTCTAGATATCTGGCCAGAAGTCAGCAATTGTAGTCACCACACTTGAGTCGTACCTACGGCTGTATGACCCCCAAGACGATAGCTCTCTCCTCCACGCCCGACGTCGTCTTCGGGAACCCATTCAGCTTCCATATCCCAGCCAGAAACGCCAGGAAGCTCAGCTCATGTCCAGTCCCATAGTCCAGCCTCTGCGGGCTCCCCCAGCTGCCTAAGAAGTACGCTTTGAGTTCCACCTCCGCAGTCACCCCGTTAGGATCTGATGATCGGGCTTGCAGCAGCTCAGACGACAGACACTCCTCCAGTAGCTCCGAGGCTCGGCTCTCCACGAGCTCGTACCACCTGCGGAAACTGATATTCCCAAACCTCCGGGGACCGGTGTCAGGCGGCGCCTCCTCGAGAAGCTCCTCCAGTTTTGTCAGGAGCTGCTGGAGCTGCCGTACTGGCGCGGAGAACTCGACGGCGTCTGTGTTGATCGGCCAGGATTGTAGACTGCCGTCGGCAAGTTTGACGGGAATCATGGCCCGGTTGAGCTGTAGGAGGAAGGTCATGATATCGACGTAGGCTTTGGAGACGAGGAACTCTGATACATCTTGAGATTCGTAGATTCTCTTGCTGGGGGTGATGAAGGTGTGCCCCGCAGAGGGGTCGATGGTTGGGAGAACCCGGGTAGGGAAACTGTTTGCCATGATTATTGTAGCTATGAAATTATGTCAAATCGGATTCTAGAGGACGGTAATAAATATGGATAGAAAGGGCGTTTGGATGGTAGGAGGTGGTGTTGTGGAGGACTGTACCTCTACGTAGGTCGATCATATGCGATGACGCTGATCCGCTGGACGACACTAGACCACCGCAAAAACAGACCGATCAACTGTCAACACCGATGACATTCACCACCAACGAGCATCTCTACGCTGACTACCCAAACTAATATCCTAATACAACTCCCATCCCAGTACAATCAGTTAATGGCCGTCCCTTATGAGTTCCTCGCGAAAGAACAAACGCGATTTGACCTCGCGGACCGTGGATTTCCTCAACCGCGTCAACAGCGTCAAGGACAACACCGGCGCGGACCCCCAATCCAGAAGCAAACCGCGCGTTCGGCGCTTACCGTCGCAGCCTATCAATCGATTTGGTAGCAGGACGCCGCAAGTAAAGGATGCTATTTGGGATATTCCGTCGGACTTTTCGGATGAAGAGACACGACCTGCGTCGCGAAGACACAATGCACAGTCCGAGCCCCGTTCTCTGAGACGATCCCAAAGAGCTCGAAAGTCGGTTCATCTGGAGAATACCCCGACCCGGACGTCGCGGAGATTGGCGCGTGTCATTGAGGATAGGCATGAGCGCAGTAGTGAGGAAGATGATTCTGAAGCGGGAGAGGAATTGAATAAAATCATTGATAAGCAGTTAAGTGGCGCGAGGTTGATCCAGTCAGTGAACGAGAAGAGAAGTCCAGAGGTCAACCGTGGGCCTACCAATGAAGAAAGGGAGGAACAAGAAGGTGAAAGCGACCGGGCGTCGGAGGAGCCTGTGAAATCGATCTCACCTTCGAAAAAGCTCCGAATTCAGAAATCTAAGACGATGGACGCGCAAGAAGCCCAAGACGGCGATCCGGAATGGGCGCCCGATACAGCAGCAAGTGAAGAGTTGGGAGAAGAAGAGGATGAGAGAGGATCGGACACTGACAGACCGCCAGAGCCTACGCATATCATCCAGACTCGAAGATTGACTCAGGAGCTGGCCTCGCCGCGAGCGACACGGAGACATACTCTTGCGGCTCAATCTGAGAAAGAGGTTGACAAAGCCTCAAGAAGGCCGAACAGAAGGTCGCTGCCGGTACAGAATGGTTTAAGAACGGGAATGAGTACTCAAGGCAAGCAAGCGGATAGAACAGCAGAGCTATCAGAGGTATCTGGATCCGTGCAAGAGGAGTCTGAATCAGAAAGCTCGTATGAACCGGAGGCAGAGGAAGAGGAAGAAGCAGGGACGAGTCGACATTTACCCAACCCGCAGCGGGAGGAACCGTCTATGCGACCAAGCAAGAGACGCCGTACTGATCAGTATCAACGCAATCCCCAAGTCGAGGTCTTACGCACACAGCCAACGCCGCCGCCCGTGCATTCATATCCATCGACTCCTGATGACAACCAGAGCCACAGGAGCACGCGTCATCCCTCGCAAAGTCCCGCTGTTGCCACAAGGCCCATCGGTGCGATCTCAGATGATGCACAAAACGAGGCTCTGGTAAGAAGTGTCAGAGACAATGCGGGGGATAAAGCGTGGTTTGCAGAGGCTTCCAACCTTGGACAACAGAAGGAGAACTGGGATAGTCTAGTGGCGGAAGCATCGGAGTTGAAAGAGAATATAGATCCCTCTCGAGCGGAGTCCTTTGGGCAAATCGACAAAAAATTATCTCAGCTACGTACACGATACACAAAGATCAACAAGCAACTCAGATCTCAGCAGGGGCCTCTCCGAGAAAATCTGCGTGAGTGTCGCGAGGCCATCTTGGAAGAAGGGACCAGGATCCTTGACAGCGTCTACTATCTGTCTCTCCGACGGGCAGAGTCGCATGAGTTGCTGAAACAGGCGCATCAGCTAGTTAAGCAGTTTGAAGCCCGGGTCTTTCCTGCCATGATCAAAGTGATCCTTCTTTGCTTTGAAGCATACTACACAAACCGGAAATTCTTTCCGTCAGCTTATAGACACCTTGCCGGGGCGATGAAGCTCCTTCTACGATTCTGCGACCGGATTGCCAGCCTGCGCACCGAGCGATACATACTGTGCAAGATACGCAGTCGAACCATCCGCAAGCCGCTCCAAGAGCTGATCAAGGCGTTGGAAGGCAACTTGCTACAGCGACGCGTGAATGAGACTGACGGGGCCTCTGGAGGCGAGAAGAAGAGGGAATGGACTGAGGATGAGAAGATTGCACTTCTCGATGGATTGAAGCTGTTTCTGGGTGGGTTGCTGTTCCTGATCTTTCCAGCACCGGTATCGTCGTCAATGCTAATTCAAGCTGTGGTGTCTCAGGTCAGGACCGCTACATTCGCATGGTCTGCCATTTTGGACAGAGACTGCGCCACCGAAGTCTACAGGAGCTGCAGACGAAAGCCCGAGAGATTCATGACCGGTTTATCCCTCGAATCCAGGAGGAGCTCAGGACAGTAGATGGGCGTCGACAGTGGCAATGGTTGTTGAGTGTGAACGACGGTCAGCGTCCGGTGTCCGTGGATTGATAATGATTAGTCTCTTGTCTTATTTGGCGCTTTTGTCCTTCGATACCCCTTTTTGTTATGTATAGTTTCATCTCATTTCTCACAGACCCATGGTTCATCGAGGCGAGCGATCCACAGATTATTTGTTTTGTTTTGATGCGGTCGGCGCGTAGCAACACACAGGGCAAATGGTTCGACACGACCATGATGCTCTACAAGAGACAAGCCATATAGAAATATCAAATACTAGTGATATAATTTCATCAGCCGAAAGCAATCATCACATCATCCTTACATTGTAGATAGATAGACAAGGTCCATCTGCTGATCGCCGTCCGAGTGTGTCCGCCTTTTCCCCCACTCCTGCTGCTAAAATCAATAGTCGGCAAAAGGAAGGGAACTTTACTCTACTCTACTCTGCCTACTTACTCTACCTCCTGCATCTGTCGTCTGGCTCTCTCTCTCTCTTCCATCCATTAATTGTCACATGTCTCACTTGTCTGCTTCTCCTTTCCCGTCAGAAAATTCTTTATATCCTCTTTAATCTTGCAATTCTTCTTCATTGAGTTCTTCTGTCCTGCTTCTTTGTTTTGGTCGGGTTCTGTTGGCCAATCATACCCCTACTGCCGACACCGTTCACCTCCAACTCTCCCGCTGTACAAGTATCTGTCTAAGATACTAAGTAGAAGCTAAGGTACCTAAACGGCTTCATTACTCTAGTTGGGCACTTGATCCCGTTTCTATCCCGCATTGGTCCGGAGAATCGTCAATTAGTGAGTTGTCATCTCCTTTCCTTCATCGCTGCCCTATAGGACCTCCCCAGGATAGGGGGGCCACACGTCCACCTCGCATCACAGCTGCCTCTACCTGCAGATCACTCGGGAAGCAATTCGCTAGCTGTAGTGAGGTGTCATTAGCTGATTGCTGCGTTGTCTGTCTCTGATGTCTGCACAGCATCAATCATTTCTGCACTGATGACCCTGCATGGATTCCCATAAATCGATTGCTACTCTAGTTTCTCCCCAGAGCTAACAGACCCCCCTCCAGGTACGGTCTCAGGCCTACCAACATCTCATAATGGCTTCCACGGAAGAACCCGTCCCTGCCCCTGCTCCCGCTGCTGCGCCCGTTTCGGCCGAGGTTGACGCTGACATGGCACCCCCTGCTACTCCCGTCGACTCTACCATCTTGTCCGGCAGCGAGGGACCCGTTACAAGCCCCGATGCTTCGATCAGAGACAAGGAGAATATCAAGTCTTCGCCCGAAAAGACCACTACAACCACAAAGCGTCCGTTGTCTGGAACGGCAGCTGCCAAACGTCCGAGCTCTATTTCTGGCGCTTCCAAGACCGCAGCGTCCACCGCGCGAGCTGCGGCCAACGGCAGTACGCTCAGCAAGCCCCCAACTCGTCCTATCACTTCCGGCACTGTCCGTAAACCGCTGAGCACTTCGACAACCGCTTCTCACCGGTCTCGTCCTTCAGTGAGCTCCGCAGATGAGAAGACGAGATCGGTCGCGAGCTCTGGCGACGAAAAGAGAGGAATCTCGGGTTCGGCCAAGCGCATGTCCTTGGTCGGCACTACTTCCTCTAGGGCTCCAATGAAGACGACTACGTCCACTTTGGACCGTCGCTCGAGCATTGCCGGTACCACCGCATCCAGGAGCACGGCTACGCGTCCTGGTGCCGCTTCATCCACTAAACCTGCCACAAAACCAACTGGCGTGTCCAGCACTTCCCGTACATCCAACAGCACGGGCACGACCGCGGCCCGACCTGCAACCCGACCCGCGGCCACGGCGACACGCCCTACAACGACGGCCTCGAAGCGACTGAGCACCGCCATCAAGGTTTCCGACGATGAGGCGGAGAAACTGCAGTCGCTGCAGAACAAGCTGTCCGAGAGTGAGGCTACTGTCGCCAGTCTCAAGGCCGAGCTGGAGACCGTGAATGAGAAGCTTTCTCAGCTGTCAGTGTCTCAGGAGGGAGCACCCAAAGAAAACGACGATGCAGTCGCCAGCGCCCTCCGGGAGGAGCACGCTGCCGAGACGGCAAAGCTGGCCGCTGAACACGCCGAGCAGCTCCAAGCTCTGCAGGCTCAATTGGACGAGGCAGAGACCAAGCGCAAGGAGCTGGAAGAAAAGACCCTGCGGGACCTGGACGATGCCGCCAAAGCAGCCGCTCAGGAAGGGGACGACAAGACTACTGCGGCACTTGAGGAGTTGAAGCAGTCCCACCAGTCTCAACTTGAGGCGCTGGAGAAGGAGCTCGCTGAACAAAAAGCCATTGCGGCCGGCTACGCTGACCAGATTGCCGCTCTCCAGGCCCAACTCGAATCGCAAAAGAATGGGCTTGAGGAAGCCACCCAGAAGTTACAGGAGGAGAAGGCGTTGGCCCTCGACAGCTTGGACCGGGAGCTCAAGGGACGCGACCAGGTGATTGAGAACCTCAACATGGAGATGGAGAAATTGAACAGCGCCAAGGAACAGGAGGTTCGTGCGGCCGAAGAGTCCGCCAAGCAATCCGTCTCCGCGCTGGAGGAGAAGGTCGCCGAACTAGAGGCCAAACTTGCCCAAGCTGAATCTGCCACGAGCCAAAGCAGTGAGGAGACTGCTCTTCTGCTTGCCGAGAAGGACAAGGAAGTTGCTGAGCTCAAGCAAGCTGTTGCAAAGTTGCAGGAAGAGCTTCAGGAGGCCCGCGAAACTGCCGCCAAGGAATTGAATCAGAAGATTGCTGAATTAGAAGCCGCTCACGAGGCCGCAGTCGCCAAGCTCAAGGCTGAACATGAGGAGGCTCTGGCCTCGGTCGCCGCTGCCCACGCCCAGGAATTGACCGTGGCGAAGCAGGCAGCTGAATCTGCCGGTTCCCTGCACTCTGAGGAGCTTCAGAAGCTGCGCGAGGAATTGGATGCTGCCGAAGCCGCAGCGCAAAAGGGAAGGGAAGAGGCCATCGGTGAGCTCAACGCAGCACATCAAGCCGAACTGCAAGCCCTTCAGGACAAGCTGAACGCATCGGAGCAGGCGCTGTGCGAAGCTCGGCAAGCGCTGGAGGCTAGCGTCAGCTCGGTCCAGGCCGTTGCGGTCCAAGAGATTGAGTCGCTCAAGGAGAAGGTTGGTGCGTTGGAGTCGCAGCTGTCGACCGGACAGGGCGAGATCCAGTCTCTGGTAGAAGAGGTCCAGAGCAAACAGGCAGAAGCCGAAGCCTTGCACCAGAACCTCACTGATTTTGAAACCAAGCTCAAGGCCAAGGACGCCGAGAAGGACGAGCAGCTGAAAGCTCTGGGCGAGAAGGCAGCTGCCTCGGAGAAGGCTCTTGAGGAGCAACTCAAGGAGGCGGTTGCTGTTGCTGAGAGACACGCAGAGGCCTTGGAGGCGTTGAAGGCGGAGCACGCTGCGGCGCTCGAACAGGCCAAGAGCGAGGCGGCTGGGTCCCATGAGAGTACGCTGAGCGCGCTCCAGGCCAAGCATGATGAGCTGCTCGCGGCGAACCGGGACCTGGAAACGACTCACGCCGAAAAGGTCGAAAGGCTAGAGGCGGCGCTGAAGAGCACGCTGGAACGCCATGCGGGTGAGATCAGCTCGCAGACGGAGCTGCGCGAGAAGGAAATCGCGGATCTCCGGAAGGACTTTGAAGAGACCAAGGCCAAGCTCCTTGCGGAACTCGAAGCATCGCAGACATCCAAGGCTGCCGAAGCTGATGCCGAGCACAGCAAGGCGATCGAACAGCTGCTCACTCTCCAGGAGGAGAAGCTGTCCAGCCTCCGGTCCGAACTCGAATCCTCCCACAAGGCCAAGCTGGATGAGCTGCAGAAGTTGCATGACACCGCCCTCGCGGAGGTCCAGGAGCAGCTTGCGCAAGCCCGTGCTGCGATGCAGGACACCTCTCTGATCGATGGTCTGAGGGCGACGGTGGCCGATCTCGAGCAGAAGCTGATGGATGCGGACAAGGCCGTGGCTGCCAAGGAAGCGCTGGCGAACCAGCACAGCACCGCGCTGACCCAGCTGGATGCGGAGAAGAAGGAGTTGGAGGCCCGCTATGCGGCGGTGACCAGCCAAGTGGACGAGTTGACGAAGTCGGCTGCTGCGTCGGAGAGCATCAAGGCGGAGCTGGAGCGGGTCCTGAACCAGCTGTCTGCGTCGCAGGAGGAACTGTCGCAGCTCCAGGCCAGCCACGAAGCGGTCAGCGGCGAGCTGGAGCAGTTCAAGACGCAGACCCGGACGATGGAGGAAAAGCTGTCCCAGGGCGAGAAGGACCTGAACGACCAGATCGAGCGCAACATGTCGCTACTGAACCAACTGGGCGAGGTGGACTCGGCCATTTCGGCCAATCGCAAGCGCGTGCGTGAACTGGAGGCCGAACTGGCGGCGCTCAAGGCGGACAAGGACAGCGGCAAGGGCAGCGTGGGGCTGGAGGGAAGCCGATGGGCGGCGGCAGAGGATGGGGCGAACACGAGCCAAAGTGAAGAGAGTGGTCCGACAGCCGCTGCGGAAGGTGAGGACCTTGGATCATCCATAGAGGGAACGGTGGGAGACCCGTTGTTTACTCGGCGCATCCACCCGGGGTGTTCGTTCCCAGTGTTTGACGTGATACTAATGCGGTGGACATAGATGGCAAGCATTCAGGAACAGCTTAAACATATCCGGACGGCCAACGATGACTGGTACGACGAACACCGCAGGTAGGTTTGCCTCCCATTTTTTTTTTTTTTTTACTTTTCTTGAGACTTTGACCTAATGATGCGTTAGACTCATTGGCGAGCTTGCTCAGCTATCGCGACGCACAACACCGGACCGTCGGAGCCAGGCGTCGACGCCTCAGMTGGAACAACTGAGCAGCTTCGAGAGCCGCAGTGGGGAACGATCGTCCTGATGGAGCAAGAGGACGGAAGAGTGATTTCGGGAGGACTATTTCCTTTGTATTGATTGGTTGTATGTATGTAATACGATGCTCAGGATACCCTGTTCATACTTGATGCGTCCAGATGAAGAAGAACTCTAGTGTCTAAATTTATTATCATTATGGATTATAATGCGAACGATGATTCGGCGGATTGGGGTATCACGATAAGGCAACTGGCCTGAGCCACCAAAGTTAAAAGGACGGTCAGTGAGACTCGCGGTGACGAATGTGAGAGAACCACGACCACGACCACGACCACAGCCGGCGTTGGCGTAGCCGTTGCCTGGCTCGTTTCTTGTCGCAGGCCGCCCGGCGCATCTCGACGTAGAGCGACGGCGTGAGGATGTGAGGCGGCGGCGATGGCTCTAGTTCGGGGACCGGTGATAGCACAGCTTCGGGTTCGGCGGGTAGTGGCACCCGTTTCTCATCGAGGACACCTTCCTCATCGTCCTCGGGATGTGCATACCTGGAATCCTCGGAAATCATCGTGAGATCCACCTCGCCGTCCATCATCCACGTCCTGCGGTTCTGGTGATGGAGGTGCTGGCCCGCCGACGTAAAGGCCCGACAATACGCCGCATAGGCCTCGGAGAGATCGCGCTCTGCCTCGTACTCTTTCCTTTTGCGGTGGTTGAGGTCAGAGATAATCTTTTGCCGGTCGTTGTCATTGTGGGTGTGGGTGTTGGCGTGGGTATAATTGCTATCGTAGGTGGCGTTTAATCCCTGCCTGGAGATACGGCGGGAGAGCCAGACCGATAGGCGGCGCAGAGGGAGGGATTTGCGGCGGGTGAGACTCGCTTGTTGGTGGTCGGAGGAGGCGGTCGAGGAGGTGATGGATGCTGTGTCTGGGAGGAGGATTTCGGGCATTTTCCTGTCTGTCTGTCTGTCTGTCTGTCTGTCTGTCTCTTTTGATTGAGGGGTGGTAGACTAGGCATCTATATATAGTTGTCTAGTAGGACAGGAATGAGAATGGGAATGGGAATGAGACAAGGCCAAGTCAACAATGCTGGAATGTAGATATGCTGTGATATTGTCCTCATTTCAGGTCTATTGACAGGATATGATAATATAACATAATATAATAACTTGAAGTGAAGCCGAGGAGGACTGGCACATGCTCTCTCTATATAGTGGGACAGACTATCTATATAGTGGTACGGAGTATAGCTGCATGAACTACTACAGAGGGGTGAGGACGGTGGCTTGTGTAGCGCCTTGGACACACGAACCACAGGACGTTGGGACTTGGGACTGTTTCCGGGCATATTTTTGGTACAACAGCAGATAGTCTGTTTCTTGTCCAGGAAGATGGTGGATCCTGTTGTGTGAGACCGCAGAAGGAGTGATAAAACCTATCCAGTCGCTGCTGAGCATTAATCTATCGGTAGACTCACTGGATCCTGTGTTAGGTCACACGATCTGTGGTAATAATAATAATAATAATACTAATACTCTGTCCTCTTCCTTGCAGTATCATTGTTGCACTGCCGCTGCTCCCTCACTTTGTACTACTTGACTGATAATTATTACCTATGTTCTAACGGTTTATATGTATATGTACAGTAGTATATACGATATGTAGCTATCCAGATACACCGTCTCTTCCCAGTCCCCATCGACCCACCTCCCGCATCGCCTCGTCCCCTCCTTCGACTAATCGTCCGTCTGCATTCGACTCATTCGCACTGCCCAACGCTCCGGCGACGCACTCCCATCCACTGCGTCCGCCTCCCCACCGCAGCACCTCGTTCTTGTACCGCTCGCCCGCTGCCCGGTCGACCGCGTGCCGGCCCTCCCCGAACACATCGACCCAAAGCTTGTTGGCGATCGCTCGGTCGAAGATGTAGCTGTAGTACGTGGCCCCGTAGCCGTAGAGATGCCCGAAGAACCCTTGCCAGGAGGTCGGCGGCGTCACGTCCGCTGGCTCCGGCAGGCTCGAGTGCTGCTGCGCGACCTGCTGGTAGAGCGCCGTGCTGTCGATGCGGCCCCCGTCCGCCGGCCGCGAGTGGTACGTCTGGTCCACCAGCGCCATCAGGATCTGTGCCTCGTTCTCGACCGCCCCGTAGATCGACCCGTGTGCCGTCCGGTCGCGCTCCATGCTCCGCATCATCCCCTCCGACAGCGGCTCGTCCGTCCGCCAGTGCCGCGCATACAGCGACAGGACTGCCGGCGCCGTCGCAAAATGCTCCATCAGCACTGACGGCAGCTCCGCAAAGTCCGTGGCGCACCGCGTCCCCGAGATCGATTGCAGGCGCGTCTGGCCCAGGATCGAGTGCACCGCGTGGCCCATCTCGTGGAACAGCGTGCGCACGCTGTGCTCGCTCAGTAGCGACGGACGGCCTCCGCCGTTGGCCCCCCCGGGCTCCGGGAAATCGCACACCAGCGCGATCGTCGGCAGCTGCCGCAGCGTCTTGGTGGTCGGATGCACCGCCGTCGCCATCCCGTCGTTTGGGTGCGAGCTCTGGTCCAGCGAGGCGCATTCGGCCACTTCCTCCGCCGAGATCTCCCGCGAGCAGCGCAACGTAAAGTGTGCCGGGTTCGGGTGCTTGTTGGGTCGCGAGAACAGATCGCAGTAGATGACGGCAATGTGTCGGCCCGCCTCGTCCACCACATCCAGCCGTCGTACGTCCGGGTTCCACGTCTCCCCGGGTGCGGGCTCCTGGGGCACCAGCCGCACCCCGTACAGCCGGTCAAACAGGCGCGACAGACCCTGCATGACGGTCCCCAACGAGAAAAACTCGGGAACTGCACTCAGTTCGCGGGACCGCCGCGCCTGCGAATACTGCATCACTCGTTGGTGAACGTAATACGCGTGATCCCACGGCTGCAGCGGGGCTCCCTTCATGGCTTGCAGCTGCGACAGTTCCTCCCGGACCAGCGTCCGATTGCTATCCACGAGGGCTGTCAAAAAGTTCGAGACCGCCTCGGGACTCTTGGCCATCTTGTCGCTGAGGGTCATGTGTGCGAAACTCTCATAGCCCGACAGCTTCGCCAGCTCCGCCCGTTTGAGAAGCAACTCCTCCAGCCGATGGAGCTGTCGCTTGCTGGAAGTCCTTGACGCCAGATAGACCTCCCTGCGCACGTTCTCGTCATGCACCGACCGCAGCGCCAGCCGTGGGATCATCCCCGTCGTCGGGACCGCGGCCGTCCGGTTCCACCGCTTGATCTGCTGCACCAGGATCGGATCCAGCCCCCGGAGACTGTTGGTAGCAACACTGACGTGCGACTTGGCCGGCTCGGCGCCATTGACGAAACTCGAACCCAGCTGGCTGATATCGTTGGACAGGTTCACAAACCGCTGCCGCTCGTGCGGCGGCATATGGATCGCCGAGTTGGAAAAATCCTTGATCAGAATCTGCGCCACGATCTTCTCCTCTTCCGACCACTGCGACGTCACCTCGGGGTTCGCCGCCGCCTTTTTCAGCTGCTCGTTGAGCCCCGTCGTCGTGTTGAGCACATTCATATACTCGAACATGAGCGCGTACGCCTGCGTCGCGGCCTCCTGTACCTGCGGGTCCGGATGGATCACCCGGATGAAATCAGACAGATCGATCACGCGACACAGCAGGTCGCTCAGCCGGTCCAGATCCCGCGCCATCGTCCGGTATTCTTCGAGGGTCGAGGCCGCCAGCACCTTGGACACGATCGCCTGGCATTTCTGCAGCGATACATTGGCGAACGTCCGAAAGCCATCCGGACTCGTCAGATATTGGTTCTGGACTAATCCCGTCGCTTTGGGCTGGGCCGACCGCTGCTGCGAGAACTCACGCCAGAACTGTTGGGAGTCGAACACTCGGCGAAGCGTATTGTCATCGACGGTTTTTGTCCGTGAGTAATCCGCCGGAAGAGAATCTAGCTGTCGGGGGAACGGCGATGCTGCCGTCTCAAAGGAGCGACGAGTCTGGAGTTGATGTAGCTGTAGGCGTTGCAGGCACTTTCGGCATGTCCATGGCCGACCCCGCAGCGGCAGCAGTAGTTGGTCTTTCATGGCGAGTTGACCAGGCAGAGAACCTGTAAATTTAACATCGATAGACGATATAATAAACTATTCACAAGAAGACATAGAGAGGTATCTGAGGATGAAGTGGGCAAACAGCGGGGACGATGACGGAGAGGATCGGGCCAGCCAAACAGCCGCGAAAAGAAAAAGGCTTGGCAGCTCCAACGTCAACCTCGATACTTCCTGTTCACCATCACCTCCACCCTCTTTCTCTCCTTGCTCTCCCCCAACCGTTGGCATTGATTGACCTCTTTCCGTCAGGATGTCATTCCGGCCAATGTTCCAGCAGGTGAGTTCCCTTTTCCCGTTTTTCTCTTGCTACCTGCTAACTCGTCCAGCGAGCTGTTGCTCCAATCGCAGCCACCCTTCTGGCTGGAGGCGTAGCCCTGTATCCCAGGCGGACTGCATACGCCGAAGAGCCTTTGGACAACGTACGTTCCTGGCTGTGCCGATACCTAACACGCTTGCACATCTTCGAGATGACTAACGTCTACAGAAAAAACCCATCTACGATGACTTCCCAGCCGACATTCCCGAACCCACCAGGGCCACCCCCCAGCTCCCTCCCACCCGCAGACCAACTCCCCCTTCGTCCCCCTCGCCTACCCCGACCGACATCCTGACGGCCCAAGTCCGCCAGGCCCGTCTCTTCCTCTACAGCCACTCCCTCGCCGCCGAGAACAGCTTCAACGACTTCCTCTCCCGCGCCCTGCACATCGAGAACGCCTTCACCAACACCATCGCCTCGCTGGCCCCCTCGCCCGAATCCGGCGAGCGCCTCCTCCCCGGCGGCGTCTACGTCGTCGTCGCCGCCATGGCCGGCTCCATCGTCTCCCGGAACCGCGGCATCTTCCTCCGCACGCTCTCACCGCTGGCCTTTGGTACCGTGGCTGCTTGGACCCTGTTGCCCGTGACGATGCGGAACGTCTCCGACCTGGTATGGGAGTATGAGAAGAAGGTGCCTGTCGTGGCCGAGCAGCATCTGGCTCTCCGTGAGAGGGCGGAGTACCTGTGGCACACGGGTGTGGCGCACAGCGGCATGGCCCGGCAGAGGATGGAGGAGAAGATCGGTGAGACGAGGAAGAAGTTGGAGGAGTTGGTGAGCAAGGGACATTAACCTCTGTACTTTTTTTTTAACTCTCTGGCAACGATCAGCTTGCCTGTGCTGTATACGGGCTGAGGGTGCTCACAAACCCTCATTGCATTGTACTCTTAGCCGTCACTAGATCTGAAATATTCGGGCGTCTGTTTTCTGTCTTTGCAGAGATCTTGTTATTACCGGATGAATGATTACTGGATTATTCTAAATATGGTATAATTGACCGCTAACCCTCTTGATCCTCGGCCGGCGCCGGACTACCAGCAGGAGGCGACGCGACTCCGGCCTTGGGCGGCGGAGGCAAGGGAGTCCCTTTCCGCGACGGGATATAATCCTGCTCCTTGMTCTTCTGCTCTCCCTCGGCAAAGTACTCGTCGAACGCCAGGCTGGGCGAGACGCCCATATGACGTGTTCGGCCGCCTCGCCGCGTTGCAGGGGACCGGTTATTCGACGGCGACGCGGACGACAAGGCCCTGTTGGGAGCAGATAACGGCGGAGGCGAGGTCATGTTCGCTGGTACCAGGAAGCTTCCTGCGCCGGCGTCTGCTGTCCGGCTAGCATCCGTGGCATGCGTCATCGGCGCCGAGGTGCCGTCTTCTCTCGTCTCGAAGACGACCTCGCCTGGGCCCTCGACCTCCTCGCCTAGCCCGACAGGTAACCGGTGCAGGGCCCCGTAGCCTAGTTCTGCGCCGAGCGCGCCTTCGCCGCCCCAGCCCCGAGTCGGGACCAGCTCCACCTCTCTGACCACGTCGAATTCGCTGTTGTATACCCAGAGCACCAGGGTCCGGTTCAGATGGTCTTCCACCAACTCCCCCAGCGCCGCATCGCCTCGTAATGTCCCGCTGGGCGTCCCGATAATGTAGTCTGAGTGCGGGAGGAGCCCGGCGCGGTAGGCTGGGCTCAGCGGGGATGGAATGGACAGCACATGCCAGATATGTTGTGTCGAGGAAAGGGGGGCTAGTTGTAAGGCGAGACCGAGTGTGGGATTCGATGGGGGTACCGGTAGGGAGACAGTGTGTGTTTTTTGGCCCTGTATCAGTTAGTATAGTACTTTGTAGTAGAAGTCGACTCTATGCGAACCTTTGCACTCCAGATCTCGAATGTGACGCTTGTCCCTGCGCAGTTGCGCACTTCGGTTGCGAAGAGGTTCGGGTCGGGATCCTCCTGCAGCCAGCCCGGTTAGCTCAGACGAGGATAAATGTCGATACACATACGATAGGATGTCCGTTGATTCCAACAATGAAATCAAACCACGGCTCCAGAGGTAGCTCGGGGTCTTTGTTGCGGAGGACCTGGAAGCCAAATGCGTTGTCTCCGGTGGGAGTCCGCGGGTGCTGGACGGGCTCCGCGTCCAGTCGTCCGATGAATCTGTTCAGCGCTCCAAACATGGCTCCCCTTCTGTATTTGCTGGTCTACAGAGAAGGAGGGGGACTGAAAGTTGGCAACCAGCTGCCCAAGGTGATGCTGGTATGGAGACCTGTCTTGTCCGGTGGGCTGCAAACAAAACAAACACCGTCTGATCAGGAACGCGCCTTTATCGGTTATCGATAGAGAGGCAGATCTACAACTTATCACCTTTTCTTGATGAACTGCTTGTCCAGCACACCAGAACATGGGACCTGACTTCCTGTCTCTTATTTGATCTACCTAAAATGGCGAGCAATTCTACGGATGAAGCTCCGCCCGAGGTTCATCACTACAATCACATTGGTGAAGTGCCGTGGGATATTCAGAAGTATGTAGTACTGACTGATCCTCAGTCATTGTCCACTGCTGATGTTCTAGTTACTGGGCGCAACGATACAAGATATTCTCGAGATACGATGAAGGCATCTGGCTAACCGACGATGCCTGGTTTGGTGTGACACCAGAACCCGTCGCCAAGTTCGTCCCCTGCTGAAGCTTGCTCATGCTACTACTAAACCCCATCAGCAAGATAGCAGAGGATATCGCCCAATCAGCACCCGCAGGACGCAGTATCCTAGTAGACGCTTTTGCTGGCGCAGGTGGGAATACCATCGCGTTTGCCCGAACAGGCAAATGGAAACGAATCTACGCTATCGAGAAGAACCCCGCCGTCTTGCAGTGTGCCAAACATAATGCCCAGGTCTACGGCGTGGCGGACAAGATTACATGGTTTGAGGGTGACTGCTTCTCTATACTGAAGAATCAGCTCAAGGAACTCGCTCCATATAGCATCATCTTTGCAAGTCCCCCATGGGGTGGTATGTATTTCCCTTTTTCCTTCGCCGGTCTGGTCATGCAGCTGTCTAACCCGTCCTGCAGGCCCTGGGTATCGTTCGGATGAAGTGTTCAATCTACGGACCATGGAACCCTACTCCCTCAAAACGCTGTACACCGAGTACTCCTTGTTCACAGAATACATCGTTCTGTATCTTCCTCGAACTTCTGATGTGAGGCAGCTGGCGAAACTGGTCAAAGACGGCGAAAAAGCTCCCGTGGTGCATTATTGCATGGAAGGAGCCAGTAAAGCGTTGTGTATATACTATGGTGGCTTTGATCTTTGACGTTCTTCACTTTCTCTCGAGACATGTATTATAGCTGAATGCTCATCCTGCCGAACTATGCGGAGGAAGGAAATCTGAACTCAACCTACAATGCTGCCGTCGCTGCGACCGCTGTAAAACATGCCACCCCAGTACTTGATTCTGAAGCCAATCAAACCACTGTTTATAGCCTATTTCAAGTCTTCTATAGCTTAGGCTGGTTGCCAAAGTGAATGAGGGCCGTGTGAGCTGATTGCCAGATGCGGACTAGCGCCGTCTGCCCACCCTCGTGCCTCGTGATTATCGCCGCAGTCAAGTTCATATCTCTCCCAGCCAACACTCTTCCATCGTTTACACCTCACTTCACTGACACAGGTCGACTGCGACTCCTTCCGCCGGTAGAGCAGGTCTCGGTACCTACGAGGCGCTACTCTCGCTTTCTCGGGTCCTCGTTTGTTTCTATCGGCCTGTGTCTTACAGCCTTCTACCGACAGCGCACCTACTCGATTTCCCTCAGAATATACGCTCTCTTCCCACCGCCTTCAAAATGCCTCATGCAACAGGTCCGGGGTCCGCCGAGCCCGAGGATGCGGACTTTGACAATGTGATGCGCCAGATGAACGGACCTTTCGGGGAAGGCGGCGTGTCGTTCGATTTCTTGACGCGAGAGTTGGAACCCGGCGAAAAAGCAGACGACGCGATCGATTACGAAGACATCGACGACGATGATCTTCCCGAAGAAGAAGAGCGAACGGGCGAATTTGCCACAGAGGACGTAGCGGCGGTTGCGGACGATCAGGAGAAGGGTTTGTTCGAAGCGGAGGATGACCTCTTTGGGGATCGCGAGGAGCAGAAAGGCCCGGGCGATGACCTCGACGATCTCTTTGGCGAGGGACCGTCCTCGCCTGGGCCAACGCAGATGGATCCCACCCGAGATCTGTTCTTCGAAGAAGAGGGAGAGACCAAGCCACCCGTCCCAGTCAAGCCTGCCGAACCGCTCGCGCCGGAACCCAAGCCGATGGTGATGGAGGAGGATGAAGAAGAAGAACCGTTTGAGGATGATGGAACCGTGACCCCTACTGCGGAGGACATGGATCCTGCGGCTCTCCGAGCATGGAAACTCCAGCAAGCCCTGTTTGCCATGTCGGCATACGGTCCGGATAACCCGCCGGCACCTCCGGAGAATGTGGAGGAACTGTTACACTCTTTGTTCCCCAAGTTCGATCGCAAAGCTCTCCCTCGCTTTCTCGAACTCATCCCACACAAGAAGGCTTTCTTCCTCGGCAAGCAGCCACCAAAACCTCCCAAGCCCGTCCTGCCGAGCAAAGTACATATCGAACTGTCACAAGATCAGGAGAGAATTTTCAAGGCAGGGGGTCAGTCGCATAAGCGGTCTCTTGATGCGGAGCCTCTAGGAATAGTCACCATCGCCGAGGTTGCCCAAGAAGAGGAGCCGATCGAATCCAGGGACGAGGTTGACCATGACACCGATACTGACGAAGTTCTGCCTGGTGGCGTCACACTGCAGGATCTCCGTGTCGTGTGCTCTGACTGGGATATCAAGGATGATATCTCCATCATGGACATTGACGAAGAGCCTGCCAAGGACGCTGTGGAGTCTGCTGATGAGGAGGACTGGCTTGCGGAGACCACCCGTCCGGCAAAGAAGCGCAAGCTCGGTCGAGATCCCATGGACGTGATTGCGCTCTCTCACATCGACCTGCCTCTGCTCGATGACCCAGAACAAGCTACCATGCGGATCGCTAAGAAGGTGACAATCGACATGAACGACCCGTTCATCCTTCTTGATGAGCGCGGTCCCGAGGCCGTTGCCCCGAAACCCAAGGCTTTGGGCGACCTCAATCGGGAAGAAATGGATGTCAACGTTACCCGGCGTCTCTCATCGCGCTACAACATTTCCAACGATCAGGCATACGACATGCTCAAGCAGAATCATCAGAACAAAATTCGCAGCACGCTTGGCAATGTCACTCTCGAACACAGTATGCCCGCCCTTCGTCTGCAGTGGCCCTACTACAAGACCGAGCTGGCCAAAGCCGAAGCCAGATCTTTCCACCGTCCGGCCATGTCCTTTCGGGCCGGTCAGACCTGCTGGTTCAAAAATCCCGCGTACATCAAGCGCAAGCATCAAAAGGGCAAGGACGCCAAGACTCTATACGACTCTACCAAGGCATTGTCTATGGCCGACAACTCCAACGTGCTGTTGGTGGAGTACTCCGAAGAGAGTCCCTTCATGTTGTCCAATTTTGGCATGTCAAATCGATTTATCAACTACTATCGCAGAAAGAGCATGGAGGACTCTACACGTCCAAAAGCCGAGATAGGCGAGACGGTCGTCCTCCTCCCTCAGGACAAGAGTCCCTTCTCCATCTTTGGTCATGTTGATCCCGGAGAGGTTACACCGACCATCTCCAACTCCATGTATCGCGCTCCGCTTTTCCAGCATCAACCACGATCTACGGATTTCCTTGTTGTACGCAGCAGCACCGG